GAGACGCCGTAGTGGAGGGCTCCGGAAATTTAGACCACCTGGGGTTCTTTAACGTGCACCCAAATCTGAGCACACGGGCCTACAACATTTCCGCCTCCATCGGAAATGCAGCCGCCGCAGCCGGGATTCGAACCCGCGCCCTGCGGGTCAGCAGCCGAGTACCTTAGCCACTAGACCACCGCGGCGGGGCGCGACTTTGAGCAGTATCGTACGTGTACTCGCCACTGCGATGGTTAACGCGTGCCCCGATGGTTAACACCCCCCCCCCCCATACAACCTCGGCAATTCGTAGATTAGACAGCAGCGATTACGTTTTCAGAATATTACAGCGCCGCGCAGAGCCTCCATTTGGAAAAACAATAGACCTCTCCCTGTTTGTAAACAGTGTGACGTCACTGCGGACAACCCGCCCACCATACCCTCTCTCAGAGCAGGTGCTGGTTGGCAAGAAAGTTCAGCCGGTGGCATTTCTGCATAGCAGAGCTGCGTGTCTACATTTCTTCGACAGAAATTTCTACATTGCTATGTTTTAAAGTCACAGCTTTTGAAAGGAGGAGGTCGCGGAAGGGTCACTGCTCATAGTGTGGAAATTTGCTTGTCGTAGATGGATGGATTGAGAAACTATTTAGAGTACTGAGAGACGCGACTAGCACGCAGTGGGCTTCACCCACGTAGATGACACCCATAAAAAATCTGATCATTTTCGAAATCGAACGTTTCGAATGTACATAGTGACTGGCACTTTGAGGAATATTTGCATTGCACGGATGTAAACGTATTCATTTTCCATCGCGGCATGTGTAATGCAGTTTTAAACGAGGTACAGCATTGGCAGTAGCATGGTTTTGAGCTGCTGTGCGCGACGTCACGGATAAAGATCTCACTAATTGCGCAAAAGTCGCATCGGAGATGAATGAAAAAGAAAGAATCACTTCTTGCCATGCGTTCGGCTGAGGTTAACATAACCCCGTGAAAGTGAAATTCTGCCGCTGCGTTTCTCAATAACCCAGTGAAAATTCATGTGGTGTTACATGTGGCACAGTTACCTTGCTGCATTTGACAATTACAACGTGTTTGGTACCTATATATATATTGCTCCTTTAGGCTTGATACACAAACATTTAATGCGCATTGTCACTTCATAAGGATCGAGCCGTAAAAGTACAAAGTAAATAAGAAAGTGAAATCTCCGCTATTTCTACTAACGCGTATCAGATATGCGATAATTCGAGTTATAGCCAGCTCATGCGTACTCGTATGTATAACCCGGAGATCATGCACTTTTATTTTTCTGCACGTCCCGCGTACGCTGAGATGTACCCACTCGCAGATGATCGCGTCAAATGCATTTTTATCTTGACTAAAATGTCAGATAATGAAGCTCCATCGACAACCAGTTACTGCAACCAGCCCACAACGAATACCGGTGTTTTCGCAAACAGGACGCATCGCGTTATTCACACTGCACACATCACCCACAGTATTCCCAGTTTCACGGTCCGTAAAGGTGAACGCGCACTACACGCCACAGTCAACACTGCACATTTTGGAAGACGACGCCGCTGTTCGTCGCACCGGCCGCAACGTGTGTTCACTATTCCGAGATAAACAGCCAGCCAGCGTTACAAATATTTCATCACTCACTTTACCGCACACCTAGATGTTCTCCGACACATACCACAGCTAATGTTGCCACTGTGAGATGAAGATTAGCCTTTTAAAAAGAAAAAAAAAATATGCCCTAAGCATCGAGCGGCTGCATCCCACACAGCCACCAGCAGGAGTATTTTGCCAACCACCACTTTGCACGTGCACCGGTGACGTCACGCTGTGACGCACCCCGGTACGCCTGACCGACCCCCTTGCACGCGCAATGACGTCAACTCGGCAATAGCCGACGTGACGTAACACGCAGCTCGCCGATTGGTCTAAATCAGGTGTGAAAAAACAGTAGTGAAGTGAACGTCAGTTCCTGTTCCCACCCACTGCTACGAAACTGCCCTTGCTTCTTGGCACTGCTGTGAAAGAACCAGTCTCGCAGTTGTCGCGTGCACGTGTACACTCCTCGCTCAACTACAGCGCCTGTGCGCCCGTACGAACGTACTTCGCCCTTGACATGAGCAACACGGGTAAAAAGCGTTGCTCTGTCGTCGGCTGCAAATCGAGCGACTGGGCAGCGGAGAAGCATCGGCACAGGGTGCCTCACGATGGGGCCCTGCGTGCTGTATGGCGGAAGCGAATCGGCCATCGAGTGACGTACGTCGGCGACCTGGTCGTTTGTGGTCGACACTTCGAAACTGACGCTTTCACGGTTGAACCGCAGCTGGTGCGGCAAACGGTAAACAAACAACCACGCTTCGCAGCAAGCGAAGTGCGTTGCGACTGATGACATCAATCGCTGACGTGGTGTCACGTTACCGAAGTGGGCGGAGTCACAGCGATGGGCTACGCCTTTCCCTTCATGGAAGGGAGAAGGGGGGGGGGGGCGAGCACGCGCGAAAAATTTGAAACCATCTTAGACCGATGTTCTAACCCCTGTAACTTTCTCAATATAGTACGTATTCGCAAAATTCTTGCGCCAGCATGTTTGCAAAAAAAAAAAAAAAAAACTGCACATATATCTTTTTAAAAACTTTTGGACCTCAGGGCTGTTTACTGGCCCTTTAAACAATATGATCACTTTTCACACACATGTAGAATTTTGGGGCCCACAAGTGTGCATCAGCGGCAAAGAACTTGCACTGCCTCCAATTACGTGAATGAGGATGGAGGAGCCACAAATCTCCTTCCAAGGCGAAGCTGGAGCAAGATCTTTCCTTGTAGCTGAGCAAACACAAGAATTGCTGCCCTTCTGTCTGTTCTGCGCTACTGCTTTAATTATTTATTCTACCCACAGATTTTTTTAAAAAAGAAAAGCAGAGAGAGAGGAAAAGCTACAGGTTCATCATCGACACATTCATTACACATTCATCCACAATTCTTTTTACTATTCTTATAGGCAGCAGGAGGATTGCAAATCACTGCATATTCTTCTTGAAAATGCTTTATCAGCATACTCTTGAAGTGTTGGGTGCAGAAGCCTTTTATAGATGGAAGCACTGTCCACAAGCGAGTGCTCGGCATATTTTGCTTGGCTTTGTAAGGAGCCTGCACCACCCAGTTAAGATGAATGCTTTAAAACTGGCACACTACAAGGTAGTAGCTATGCTATGGGTAGTAACAAGCACATTTCCCAGCCCCACCACTACAGTGACTGGAATGAAAGCTTATATGCACGTACAGTCACAACAGAGTGCCAGTGTCAAACGAAAGTATAATTACTCTTTTGCAAAAACTTCACATTGCTATGATGATAGAAACTTTCACCTGTTCCTGTGAAAAAAGCAGTGACGAGCACAGAACTTATTAAAAATTGACCACATGGCCCTCGCAAGAAATGAGTTGAGGCAAGTGCTATTATCACACAGTAATAAACTAAATGCATGTCTGTAACTGCTTTCATTCAACATCAAGCTGTGGCTGCAACCTAGTTACCTGCTGTAAAGCTTTTCTGTGTGTCCACGAACAAAAATCTCATTTTTCTTTAAAGATTTCTACTGCATTTATTTTGATGCTTCTACAGTAATACCCCTTTATAGGGGCACTCATATAAGAGACAAATGGGTATAAAAGACACCGGTGAGCCAACAGTAAAATACGGGTAAAAAATGCATCTGAGGTACCCTGCTTATAAGAGACAAGAATTGTTGCCTGGAGCATGCCTCTTATAGAGGGGTTTAAGTGTATTAAGGTGCAGAGCTAAGTGTCAGAAAAAAACCACTGCAGATTATTTGTCAGCATTATAAAGCAAATGTTATTTTTGTTGATTTTTCATAATTAAGAACACGTTGCCCTTATGCATGCACTTCTATTTCAAACTCCACCCATGACCAAAACCCTATTTCTTGTAGGGACATGAAAAAAGCTTTAGCCAGTGCAATGAACAAAAACAGATGAAGTCAGATAAATATTAAAACCACAGTGATTAAATAACTAAAAATTATGCAGTGCACTAGGGGCACCTTCGCATAAAAGGCAGCTGTATAAAATCTTGTGGCACAATTTTGCTAACTGAGTCATTGCACACCCTCAAGTGTGACAAGGAAATGTGCTAAGTTTTAATTAAAAATTGTTATTAGCAAAGAAGTTATGATTGTTTAAATACAGAAAATACCAAAAATGTAAGTTCAAAGGAAAAAAAATTAAACCAGGCATAGTGCTTTTACAAGGTAATCAGGAGCACTAAAACTATCAATATTTTGAGCCAGTTCTATTGTGGACCTTATGTGTGCATTTGCTTGAGTGGAAACTTGAATTTCTTTTTCATTAGCTTGCAGTGAAGCATCAGTGCCGCGACAGAATGCTTTGATGATGTGGTGCTGATCATTTGTAATGCAACTTTTGAAATGTAGAGGCCATGCTTGGTGCCCATTTGCTTCGAGATATCAAATGTGCTTTTTTCTCCAAATGTTAAAATGACACTCAACATCATAGAAAGTAAATTCGATGTCTGACAGGCTAACATACATGTTCTTCAGTGTAAACACGTTGTGCATTTACACGGTGAGAAGTTATGATTGTTACTCCCCATAATTCCTATGGAGGTACACGATCACAAAGACAGATTCCGATGTAGGTATTGCTGTAGGAAACCCTATGATGCATACCAACACAGTGCACTTCGAGAACAGTCCTTGCAAAGGGTGCTGAGCTGTTTCTCACATGAAACCGAATTGTGCTCAGTAAAAATGGAATTAAAAAATTTGAAAACTTGGTATTTAATTGCTTGGTTTTTTAATGCTTGTGCAAAGATTAAGGGTGCATTTTTCAGAGAAGGACACGAAAGTCATGGTGAAACTGTGAGCAACCTGCTAGCATAGGCACACTCAAAAGTACCCAAGGTTATTAGCTTTTCTTAAACACTTTGGTAGAGGCAGGGAAGAGTTAACGGCTGGCACAGACGGTGTTACCTTTGTTTATTGCAGGATTTACTTAGCTATGAGTAGTGGTACATAGTTTAGGTCTATGGCCATGTGAAAAACTAGACAGAAAAATACTGCAAGGAAAAAAAATGCAAGGAAAAAAATATGAAAGTAATCTTTCAACATAATGCTAATCACATTAAGGCGGGCATGGTAGGGTAAGAGGTATATGTCAGTTTTAACATATTTTAGAAGCGGCTGCAAGTATTCACATGAAATTTCACATGCTCACGAAGAATGCTACTGGGTATTTCATGATAACCCACCCACACCCTTTTTTATGCCTGCGTTGCCTATCCTTTCCATGGCTCACACCCAAATTTTAAAGTGGGTTCACTTATTCAATGTACCTCTAACTCTACAACCACCAACATAAATGTAATGATATTAAGCCATGTTATTATATATACGTGTAAGTTATATCTGAACTAAAAAAAATAGGACATCCTTCAAAGAGTTACTGCAAAGAAAGAAAAAAAAATGCATTCACAAGGCCACAAAGGGTGCATCTTGCTGTGCAATGCTTTTTTTTTTTTTACAGCTTCACTTTTTACAAAATCAGCAATTTTTTTAGTTCAGATAGTTTGCAACTTGTTGTAGCTTATGCATGAAAAGTTATCAGAATTGATTTGATACTTTTTGATAAAAGGCGCACTGAAATTAAAAAATTTATAGAAATTGCAATGCGAGCAAAACAAAGTTTTATGCGTGTATACAGCTTACACCAGAGGGCATGCAGCACACTTTGGCATGGCATTTAATCTGCTGGGAGCTGTTGCTCGACGTCTCGTTTCTACAGGTTTGTTTCTCGGAGTGCAGTGGATCTTTCGCCGTCAAAATTGCAGATTACCCTTCCATATCTACACGGAAAAGCCGTCAACACGTTCCACTGCAGTTATTGTACCAGTGGGGTCAAGTGACTGTCCAGCTTCGAAGCACAGATTTCAATGAATAATAATGCACACCCCTGGCCCAGCAGCCTAGAAGGCACATCAGAGAGCAAAATGAATGGCCACAGTTACTTTTATGTAAAACAACATAAAAGTTTTTATAAATAAAAGATTTTAAAAAATTTTGTCAGTAAGCTACGCTAGCTTCAAGCCCGTTTTGATGAAGATGGACCGTAGGATCCACTTTGCACTCGCGATTTCGGGCCACTGCGTTGTGGACTACTGCATGGAGAGTCGTCGGCATCATCCTGCAAGACAAATTTCATCTGAGCACACAAAAACATTGCATTTGATTCACAAGGAAATACCTTTAAGATATCCAATTCATACAAAATCTGTGATGATGAAAAATAAGACAGACATTTGAATTGAGCTAGAGCATTTAGTAGGTCCTGGATTTTTAATCATGGGAGATCCCAAGATCACGTAATACATGGAATAGACATAATACTTTCTCGTAATACATGTAAGTGAAAAAAAAAGTTTATATATCATAAACATAAAGGAAAATTATTATATTTACCATGACCCTACTTATTTCAATGATTCTACAAGGCTAGCAGTGATACCACTGTGGCTCAAACCAAAGCAAATTCAAACAGTAACAGAATTCACATGCTAGTAGAATGGAACTGACAACGGTAACAAGAGTTGCCTCTTAGAATTTCGTCATAATAAAACCGTAATAGCCCACATAACTTGCTTTTAAACATTAAAAAAAAATTGGGGCATATATAATATGTACACTTAACTTTAAAGAGTGGCGTCATGACAGCGCTGACTCTTCCTGAATAGGGGGTTTCGCGCCTTAGTGAACCCACATTGCAGTGGTATAGCCTTTTTAAGCCAGTTATATCCGGTAAAAACTTCCATTTGTTTGTTTCCATTAAGTAAAAATTTGGGAAATTTTGGAAAAGTGTGAAAGGAAATCTATTCTACAACATTTGAATATTCGAAGCACTATAACATTTATTCAGAACTATTCGGAACCGTAACATCGATACTGATGTGGTTAAAAAAAAATGAAAATTCAGAGCTTTAGAAAATTAATCATGTGTACAATATTCTTCAAAAGTAGAAAATTTCAAAAAAATAACTATAACTGCAGAATACTAGTGATGTAATTTTAATGAAAACTATAAAAGCTCATTTAAAGTGGATTCAATCAATGGATGACGTGCCAGTCAGAAATATACTAATTTGAGAGAAGGACTTTCATAAAATACCCACAAATGCAGCAACAATTTTACATAGGCTTTAATGTATCAAATTTATCTACCTCAACGTTGTACACTGAAACAGTTGGATATCTTATCAGTGTAAAGTTGCCAATTTGTGAAAAAACTAGGCTTGTGGAGATAGTGAATTTTAGGTTTGAAGCAAATGGTGGTTTAGTTTGAATAATTTTGAATAAAATTGAAATAGTATGTATCACATTTTATAAACAAAAATGAGCATATTTGTCATGACCCAACTAAACAGCGCGATAATTTTTTGAAATTGAAACAAGGCACATGCAACGTCAATCTTTTTGGTTCAAAGTGGAACCAATCTTGAATAGTTCAGGATCAGACTTTCGATAGAATGCAAACGATAACCTGGAAAATATGCTAACTTTTATAATTTACTATATGTAGAGCATATGAGGCAGTATAAGAAGCTTTTAAACTTAAAAAAGGAAGAATCATGTGAGGGCAATTTGTCAAATTAACTTTGAAGTAAAACTTCCCGACAGTGCATCATTTTTTGTAAAGGCGTTTTCCTAGCATAAAAACCGTACAATGCAGTGAAACCAACTTTACAAGAAAGTTACATGTGGATTAAAGAAACCTTGCAACACTTCTTCAACCATTTAATGGGTTCACTAAAGAAGCTTATTGCCTCATGAATTGACCAACGTAAATATTTTTAGAATTCAACCAGAATGAGCAGAGTTACAAAGATTTCTATCACGCTGCAATTGTATTCTCTCTTCCCTCATCCTGATAAAAACGCTGGGAACTAAGCAGGGAGAGATGGCACGAGGAACAAACGTCATGTGCGCCTCGTGACCATGAGAATTTTTTTCTTTCTTTTTTTTTGAATATGCAGCTTTTCAGTGCGATCGAGCATGCACATGTAAACAAGTCGCGACCTCCCGCTGTGATACCTGTAACAAACAAGTGTGCCATACTCAAATGAGCCAACAGCTGATACAATGGCTTTTACGCAATGATTTTGAGTATGCTATGTCATATCACGAAAGAGAAAGTGATTTTTAGCAGAGTTTGATAATTTATTGGATATTATAGGCTGCGAGGTGTGCTATAATATTTGGCTCACGTGTTCTCAGGAACCTTGACTACGGATCCCCTGCATTTTCTGACCATGCTCGAGTAGTGTTGAAGGGCCCCCCTTTGATATGCACCTACTCACTCACTTCGAATACTTCGAAATTTCAATAATTTTAAGATTAAAAAAAAATGAAGTGAATTTCGAAAAGTTTCAAAAAACCCACAGTGGAAGTTTAGCGGGTTAGAAATCGCACTGCTAAACTTGGGGATGCAAGCTTGATTCCTGGTTATGGCATCTTGATGGAAGCAAAATGCAAGAACAGCAGTGTACCATTCGCATGAAGTCAAGTGAAAGGTGATATGAAATTGTGCAGGCTGTTGCTTATCCCATATACGAGTGTAATCCCAGTCGGTTTTCATTTTTTCAGAGTCTTGTGTGGGGAGTCAGATGCTGAAATAGAAATATGTATATATATACCAAACTTACCTTAACGAACATGTAATCAAGGAAATCCATGACTTGGTCAAGTTCTGAAATTTTTCTAGAATCCCTTAGCATCACCCTTGTAATTTCTGTATTTTTGTGCATGCTCAACTGTGCTGCAAAAAAACCGACTGTGTGTGCAACATTGGCCGTTTCAAACAATTTTACAATGCCTACTGCAAGCGCAGTTGTTAAGTGCTCACCACACCATAATTTTTCCTTTTGCGAATCGGTGAAGAGCCCACTATGCGTCCTTTAGGCAACACACAAACCTGTGCTTTGGATTGGGGCTCTGTGTGTTGATAGTACGCATAATGCTTAAGAAATAGCGCCAGGCTGTTGTGTGCCATCATCATCAGTGGTTAGAAGAAGCAGATGACATTCCAGCTGCAATTTTTGGGAGTGCGATAAATATTCGCGGAAAAGAAAAATAGTATTTTTGTTGGGCGATGTGGAGGGTGTGAGAATTATACGATTGCAAGGATTATGTGAGTAAATACAGTATGCAGAGAATCAAACAACTGAGAAATCACCCAGTTAAGCCACGGTGTCACATACTTTGACCCAGACTTTTTGTGTGTGAACTTGCAAAGTGTTAGCTCCGCACGTAGACGTGCAAGGCTGCATAAGTTAGTATATAAACACATAGAATGACAAAATATTTATTTACAATGTTTTCGTATATTGGTGAAACCAAGCAGAACAAGTAAGCAAACAAGACAGACTTGATGTTACGCCACAAAAAAAACATGGGTTAACACTGGTACATGTGCAAACATTCCAAAGAAAAAAGACAATACAAAAAGCAGTCCTCCACAATCACAAACACATACAGCAAGGCAAGTTGACACATTCATTTAATAGCTCTTTTGGTCATCATCATGGTTGTTAGTGCTAAGGGCTGAAAGTTGCAGTAACCTCTGAAAGTGAAAAGTATCGTAACAAAACTAACAGGTGCCCATCGTGTATGAGGTAGCACACAGTCATTCTTGGAACTTTTTATTAGCTGCTGGTTTCACATTATATGGCTTTACAGTTAGCTACTGGCTCTAAACACTTTAAATGACTTGGCAAAAATTTCTTAGTACCACCCTGTTTAATGTTCACAATCATTTATTACCTCCACTATTAGCTAAAAACAGTGCCAGAAAGCTACCAAATAAAGAAAATACTGGGAGCCACTTAGTGCCCACAAAAAACAGTTCTTAAGTGATGCTTTTCTACCGCAACACGAGACCACAGAGCAAGCAGTTCTCAAGTGACATTTAGATTCCAACACACGAGACTACTACCTGCAGTAGCAAACCATTCACATAGTTTAGCCGATTTGGTCATTTGTACTAAGATGATATTTGTGATAAATTAGCTTGAAATTACAGCGAACCTGAGCAGTATCATTATGAAAGTAATATTTGTTCCATGGTATGATGGAAAGCGAATATGCCCAGGGAACAAAACATTATACTTGTGGAAAAACTGAAATTATCATTCAGCACTACTAAAGGGTTATGAATGAGTAAGCGAGTCAAAGAATGTGCTTAATGGTGTTATCTAATGATAAAAAGGCTACAGCCATTAATTTGACAAAGCACGTGAAGATGTTGGTCATCATAATGGCCCACACCTCTAAGTCAACAGAAGGTTGCATAAATGAGCCTAATGGCATCTAGTCTCGTATTCAGTGCACACGGTCACCAAAGGAAGTACAGTATCATGCACAGATTCAGATAGAGACACAAAACAAAGGTGAAAAATAAAGGTGCATCCACAGTGCTGACCACACTGTGGCTGCAAACCTGTATGCAATGAACACTTGACCAGTGCACCAACTTTTCTATGTGAAACCTGGCTGTTGATAGTATAGTACATGGAGTAACAGATATGAAAAGTCCCAGCACTGCAAACACTAAATCGCATTAAAACGGTTGTTTAAATGTTTGCACTTGCTACAACACACAAGCGTTATGTACTACTCTGGCAGTACCCCATTTGGTAAAGTGTTCTGGGACAACACCGTTTCACAAAGACAAATGTTGAAGCTTTAGCAACCCTTTAGCATGGTGCACTGCAAGGTAGTATTATTACACATGGTCTTAAGAGTTGCAAAAACTTGACAAATGAAGACATGGCAACAAAGTACTGTACAGATTCAGGCACCATTTTATGGACACACCAATAACACACCAATTTCTCTCTGCACACTAAAAGCTATAATACTTCATAACATGGCAATCTTGCAAAGATTATTGACAGGTGTAGTCGGGTTTCGATGATAAATGTTTGCCAGGCAAGTGCGTGAGAACACTTATTTCACTCAGGTTAATAATGAGCTGGATCCATTGACATCCCCGTTAGAATTACTGAAAGAATGATGTAGTGCTAAATACATAACTGGTTGGGTAGTAATTAGTTACTGTCTTTAATTTTGAGTAAAGTTCCGTAATTTTAAAAAATAGATAAAGCAAATATGCCCTTGATGCAATGCACAAATGGAACACCTGTGGCCACATTGCATCTTTGTCAATTCTGCCTTATATGGAGTTGTAGCTGCCTTTGTACACACTTGCGCACAAGACTTTACTAGTGAAAAATGGACGTCGCCGGACTCAAGTTCGAAAAGTCTGAGTGACATACCTGTGAGGCCTTCTGGCATTTAACAACATAATATTAGTGTCCAAATAAAAAGAAATGTCACCACATGCTTGGTTGTGCCGCATATATACCAAGGTAAGGGTGTGCCGCGATACCTTGCAATTTTTAAAGATATATTTTTGGAGATTCCATGTTTGGGGGTTAGCCTATATTCTGGTCCAACTTATATTCTGGTTTTTGACATAAATGAAAATTTCTCTGTAGTTTACCTAGTCAGTTGCATTTGCAACATATAAATATTTCAAGACGAGCATACAACCAAATTCAGTTGCATTTGCAACATATAAATATTTCAAGACGAGCATACAACCAAATTCCGGCCCGAAAATTGATGCAGAAGTAGCAAATATGCCCAATCATCCCATGCTAAGTCTTTTCAAAATCTGTACTATGCCAGACTAGGATATTTGCCGAAAGACGAGTGTCTAATGAAATTTCTGAACTGAAGAGAGCTTTACCTTTGGGTTTTATGTGATAATTACTATCCTCATTCAGAAAGGGAAAAAAAAGAAATAGAGAGATGCTGTTTTCCTTTTCGAGTAGCTGACACGCTGAATTTTCATTGCACTGAAGAGACTTAATCGCATAGAGATTACTAAAGCAAAAGACACGCATGTGGCCTGTACTGCTGCCAAACATTTAGCATTATCAGTGTAAATGGTCCGGTCCGAATGGCTCATTTTAGTGAAAAAGCACTTGAGTGAGAATTACGCTCACAGGCAATGTAAGGTGTGCCATCACCTTCCTTTATGTTACAGTATATGACGTTTTCTAATGAGTAATGGCAGGAAGCTGCACTTTTCACAAAAGGTACCACAGGGAATGCAATTGTGTGTCTGTGAAACCAGGGACGCTATGCTGCGCATACAGAACCTTGCAGCAGCCCCCGTAGTCAGGATATCTGTGCACTGGCGAGTCTGATGATGCGCAACATGGTCACTACCTCACACTGCGTGGCATCAAGAAGACATCTTCGTTGCTTTCTGTGCGCTGTGGTTGAAGGGTGAGGCTACTCACATTGAGGTTCGAACTTGATGCTAGCCGCATGCCATGAAATGGCGAGGACTGGTTTCCTACTGACTTTAGAGGGCTGATAAACGTGGAGACTGCACGGCTCAGCCGATGTCGTGGTGTTGCTGCTCGCTTTGTGATGGACAGGGCACGTGACAGCTTCTCTCCTTTCTTGGCGGCATACCTACAAGAAATCACACACTGAGAAAGGACCTACAAATTCGTTTACTCCAGTCCACTACTCAATGGTATGGCGCTTAAAAAATATGGCCCACAAAAAGGGCAGTGCCGTGTTACTGCAAGAATGTAGGCTAGGTTCCCCTTGTTGATCACCGAGGCTGAGGGTTAACATACTAGCACAGTTGAACCCCTTTCCCAGAGAAATACACCGTGGAGCAATTCTTGTGGTTTATTATGAGTTGTCTCTTATATGCAGGTGACCATGTATGCATTTGCTTATCAACACCTATTTCAATGTAGGCACACTGGTGTGTTTTATAAAGGGGTACAACTAATAGTATTAAATATTCAGAGCAGCTCAATGCAAAAGCGTGGGGCAAAAGCAAGGCAACTCACAACGTTGCTATGCCATTAATTTTTCATTTCATATTTACAATTTGAATATGCAAGTACTTGCACATTATCTGTGAGTGTAAAAAGAAAAACACTGCATATTTTTCGCACAACAAAGACGCACTATCAAGAACAGACAGCAGGGCATAAATTCTGTAACATTCTGGTAATAACGAATACAAGACTGATATAAATGTGCATGTCTAGAGAACCGATTTGAAAAAATACAGCAGCAAAGCTATCCTTAAAAATACAGGCCATAGGTCCTTTCTACTGCTGCACGAAAAGTTGCCTAGGCAACAGACAATTTCCTTTTGCATGCTTTAGACGGGAACATACCCTAGCCTGTTAACCTATAGCCATAACTCCGACATTTCAGAACTTTGTCCGGACTGCCACAATCGCATTGATTTTAACCACATGCTTTGGAGGTACCCCTTTTTACAAGAAAAAAAAATCAATAATTTTCCGACAATGCCTTTCATTCAATGCTCACAAGTCCGGTCTTCACACAACTCAAGGCTGTCCAGATGACCCACGATGTGGCGGTGAGGCTAAGCCTCCCCGTCCCTACGTGGGAGCGGCTCACGATCCTACCACTATAAAATGGAAGTGGATTCCTTCAGGATCCCAATAAATTTTTTCATCCACCCATCCATCCCGGCAGCTAAACAGTCCACAATGATGAACCTTTTTACAGACCATGCTATGACCTACAAGGGTTGCCAACAGTCATCAACTGCAAGCTTTTAGCTGCAATCTTTCTTTCTTGCTTGAAATGTATGCTTGCTTCAGTAAAAAATGTGTTTGATTACTGTAACGTAATCAATCGCTACCATACAGAAGTAAATGATGAATTATTAAAATGGGTTCAATTACTTTTATGGTGCATTACCATTTTATACACAAAGCAAGATGACGAAAAATTGCGGAACAGGGAATGTATGGTAAAATAACTGTTTGGGGCTTTTAACGCCCTAAAACTGATATGATTGTGAGAGATGCCATAGTGTGTGAAGGATGTCGTAGTGGAGCACTCTAAAAATTGACCATCTGGTATTCATAAAAATGCACATAAGCCTAAGTAAACAGGTGTCTAGCATTCCACCTTCATCCAATACGGCTGCTACTGGCTGGAATTCAACCCCGTCACCTTTAGGTCACCAGCTGAACACTGTAACCTCTAGATCACCGTGGTGGGTCACGAATGTCAGTAGAGTCAACATTTTGACCAGGCTTGTGCGAATGTTAGAATGCTTCAAATATTCGAACAAATAGTAGAGTATTCAAATTTTCTTCGATCCGAATTTAAATTATCGAATATTTAGAAGTATTTGACATGAACGAATAGGTGTACACTAAACCGCATGTAAGCACCTGTAAAGGTGTTTTCACTGCAGTATAGAAGTGCTAAGCCATGAAAGCACTTATCCAAAAAAAAATGTGCTCTGCCGCGAAGCCCCACTACAAATTTAAAGGGGCCGTGCAACGCTTCATGTGCATGGTCAGTAAACACTGCTGATTGCTGGTTGAGGCTACCGACAACACGTGAGCTAAATATTATAGCGCAGCACGTGACTTAAAATTCACAACAAGTTATCAAAGTCCGACGAAAATTGCTCCCTTCTCTCGACAAAAGACGCCACAATGTCAAAAATTGCTCGTCGCAGCCATTGTACTAGCCATCGGCTGATTTGAGCATGGGGTACTCTGTCGTTACGAGGCGCCGCAGCGGGTGGCCGCGCCATGTCCACGCAAACATGCACGATGACACTGAAAAGCCGCATATTGAAAGAAAAAAAAGAGATAATGAGTGCTCAAGGTCACAAAACGCATGCAACATATTTTCGTTCCCTATGCCATCTCTCCCGGCTTTGCTTCAAGCGCTTTAGTCGGGACGAGAAGAGAGAGAGAGACAAGAAACTTTATTCAAGTGTCCCTGCTGGGGTCAAAGGTGGCGGGGGGCCGGGAGACGTGCCCCTCTGTAACCCCCTTCCTCAGGCGGCGGCCAGGCCTTGAATCCTGGCGGCGTCTTCGGCCAGCCGGACAGCCCAGAGCTGGTCCTCCGGGCATGTGCTGAGCAGCAAAGCCTTCCACTGCTCGGCCGTGGTGATTGTGAATGTAGGGTTCGTACTGTGTTTAACTGAGTGAGTAGCTTTGGGGCAGGCCCATATAATATGGTTGAGCTCAGCGTTAGGTGCACCGCACGTTTTGCATTGTGGTGTGTGAATAGCGGGGTAAATACGGCTGTACAGTGACGGACAGGGGAAAGTGCATGTCTGTAATAGACGCCAGTTAGTGGACTGCTGCACTTGTCTGGTGGTGGGTATTTAAGTCTGGCCTTGCGGTAATACATTAGGATTTCTCCAAAGGTAGCCATTCTGTCCCTTGCATTGTCGCGAAACGAGGAGACCATCATCTCTCGCTCAGCCCCGTCAGGTCGCTCTGGTGCTCTGTTGGATGACGCGCCCGGCGGACGAGAGCTCGGGCGGCGTCATGAGCGTGTTCGTTCCCCGCAAGCCCCGAGTGGCCCGGAGTCCAGATGATCTCAACGCGGCGACGACGCAACAGAGGTGTACTTGTGAGAATTCGGAGCGCCGGTTGGGAGATCAAACCTTTGGTAAAGTTGCAGATGGCAGTCTTGGAGTCGCTGATGATGCAGGATGCTTAGGTTGAAGCGTAGGCGAGAGCGATGGCTGCTTCTTCGCCTTCTTCTGGTTTGTTTGCGCGAATGGTGCCAGTTGCGGTAATTATGTACTGCGGCCCAGTGGCGACAGCGAGGGCCATGGCCCGATGCGTAGGATAATCCGCTGCGTCTACATACGCCACGTACGTGGCTTTCGCGTAACGCTTGCCTAGTTGCTTGGCGCGGTCTACTCGTCTTTCCACGTTATATTCAGGGTGCATATTGCGTGGTATGGGGGGAATCACGAAAGTGTCGCGAATGTCCGAAGAAATTGGGAGTTTCTGGCCAAACTGGGAGATGTAAGGTATGCCGAGTGAGCACATGAGATGACGTCCTGTAGGAGTTTGGCCTAATCGTTCGTAGTGCGATATACGTTGGGCTTCAATGACTTCTTCTATAGTATTGTGAAGTCCTAGGTCATTGAGTTTCCCATTGGGCGTAGACATGGGGAGATGCAGTGTGCACTTGTAGCAGTGCCTGATCATTATGTTTAGTTTTTTCTTGTCGGTGAGCGGAAGTTTCATCAATGGAGCAACATAAAGGATTCTGCTTATGGAGAAGACGGTCACCAGTCGTATGAGATTGGCCTCTTTCATGCCGTGCTGTTTATTGGCGATGCGGGAGATGAGCCTAGTAGTCTGATAGACATGATGGTGTAGTAGTTGCATTGTTTCCGAATTGCCACCGTTTTGCTGAATGCGGAAGCCCAATACGCGAATGGTAGACTGTCCGTATAGGGTGATGTTGCACATGCAGATTTATCGTGGGAAGGTCTCTGTTGTAGGGAGATCTAGGTCAATAGACGAGTAACTCTGACTTTTGGGGCGAGCAGTACAATCCCCGTTGTTCAGCATAAGTTGTGATTCTATCAATCGCCAGGAGGGGCGCTGGCGTCGATCGACGGGAGCGGTCGCATACCACGTCGGCTCTGTGAAATATCGCAATTATTTGCGTCACATCAAGTCGTTCTCCTGCAAGCTTTCTACCACCGTCTCCAAGAACGTCAGCCGCAACCGTAGACATCACGTCTTGTCAAGGTGGGCCGTCTTCTGACCCTTTTTCGGTCACTTGAAGCTTTCGCCAAACCACCGCGGAGTTAAGCCTAACCGCAGTAAGGGCCGCGCTGGCCCTGCCCGGGGTTTCCCCAGTAATGGCGACTCCAAATCAAGTCGCTGGCTACGATCCGGAGTCCCTACAGATCATACAGATGGATACCGCTCAAACCGAGACACCTCTATCAACTGAGGAAGAGTACCTCAAGGATATGCTCCGCGTCTAGCGCGGAAGGAAGAACGCACCAGTGGCGTCGAGAGACGCCAGGGCTCCTGCAGCCAAACAACAAGCAGCGTCTCGCCCTCAGCAAGCACAGGGCAAGAACGCGCCGAGCGTCACCTCGCAGCGCGCCAAGCAACTCCAGTGGTGGCCGAAGAACACGCCGCGCATCGAAAAAGACGACATCATAGTGGTGCTGAAACCGCGTGAGACGCTCGACCTCAAGGCCACGTTTGGTCCTGGACAAGCTGGCGCTGCAGTCCGCAGCATCCTCGGAGCCTACGCAAGTGTGGGACTTGCGGTGTGGCCCCTCTGGGACCAAAATGTACTTGTGTGCACGCTCAAATCAGTGGACGCCGCCGAGAGACTCCTCCGGGACATTAAGCTGCCAGTCGGGGGCCGCCAGCTAACATTCCGGGGACATTCCAAACTCTCCGGTGAGTTCTGTCGGGGCGTCGTGCAAGTCTCTCAAGACGAAACGTCCAAAACTGTGAAAAGCAAGCTCAGTGGTGAGCCAAATGTAGTGTCTGTGCGCAAGCTTGGGGACACCCCGGTTGCGGTGATCACCTTCGCGGGGACCAAGGTGCCACGAACGGTGTTATACAACTGCGAGCGGCTCCCTGTTCACTTGTATAAGAAGACAGTGCCTGCAT